TTTTTCTTTCCAGATCCCAGTGGGTTTACCACTTCAAATGCATCCTGATACAGGATCAAGCTCAGTGATGAGCTCTCTGTCTCGAAGAGCACATTCTCAGCCATATTTTTGCCATCCCACACATCCTTAAGAATATTCTTAGAACCAATACTGGAGCGTACTTGCTTATATTGTTCCTGCACTGATTGGCAATGGAATAGAGAATCAATTGTTTGTTTAATAGGAACATACTGGGCAAAACACTCTTTGCCTGCCTCATTCTGACCTAGACAAATCTGGACTGGCTCAACATAGTTGAAGCTGTTCTTGAAAACTGTTCTTCTTTTCTGATCAGTTTTCAGTGGCTGAGTGTTGCAGGTCCTAAAGAGATCCTCGGTTTTCACGACTTCAATCACATTGTTTGTGTCAGCTTCAGAAATCCGAAGTGTAATCAACTTCTCTTTTAGAAAAGCAAATGTGACTGGCTTATATCATGTATTTCCTGAAAATCTTCAATAATTGTTTGGATGATAGAGGATGGAAGCAAACACTTTGCTTGCAATTTCAAATAAAAAAGGGCTAAATTAGTAAAAAACTGTGATTCATCAGCAATTTCTGGGTAAATCTCTTGTTCATCACCTGCATCACTGGGAGGATCAATCTGCATATCAGACTGATCTTGTTCACTCTCATGGGAAACACCAGGATTCACAACGGACTCAGCCAAAGTTTCCTCAGCACCATTTTTATGTTTCCGACTCATGTGTGATGTGAATGTTGATAAAACTGTAAAGCTCTTGCTACAGTGTCTATAAGGACAAGCGACTGTTTTCCCCTCCCTAATGTGTGTTTTCAAATGACAGTAAAATGCCGTCAACATCTCACACCTTGCACTGCAGATATCAACATTACATGTTAGTTCAACACCAGACAAAGGAGGCCTAACTACACATTTGTTATGTCTGTAGATGTGACACTTAAATGTTTTTTAAAGCATTGAAAAGTCTGACTGCAACCTGGCAAAACACACTTAAAAGTTAAATTAGGTGTATTTTTATGAATTCTCATGTGCCTTACCTATGTCACTATTGTGGCACCGTTATGACAACAGATCTGACAGGGGAACATTTTGTTGCTGCCCTATGGCAAGTTCCTTTTCATCAACAAGCATGCATTAGTCTTGATTATGGCTGTTTTTTAGTGACACCGTATCAGTCTTCACGCAGAAATGTTTAACCTTAACCGAGTTGCAATGTTAAGATTGTAAAAGAAAAGCCACAGATGATGCAAAACGGTTTGACAAAGCCTCTAAAGCAGTTGGGAGACGCGCAGCGACAGATAAATAAACAAAATGCCTTCACAAAGAGTCCAGAAAGGCAAAATTTTCACTAATTATCCTAATGCTAGTCCTGCTGCCTCCCTCTTCCGATTGGCCTCTTAACAAGGTTAACAAGCGTTGTTCCTCGGATGCAGACGTTCGCTAATGTTACCAAAATTAAACAAAAAAACACCCAAAAGCAATATTGTTTTGGCTATTCAAATCTAAGCCTCATAATTGACATGTTCAAATCCCTAGCAAGAGAAGCTTCTGAGCAACAGTTTGATATCAAAAATTCTTGGCAATATGAATAAGATTTTAATTACCGTTTCATTTGTTGGATGTTGATGAAGAATACTCGATGATGTGCAGCACATCATCTAAATTGTGCGTCCTCTTCTGGTAAATCTCCTATCCAAATGATGAGTCCCTCCAGGAGTTGATGGCAAATTATTTATGTTTTTTTTTTTTTAAGAAAATTGACCAAAAGCAGTAGCCTCAATTTAAAAGACTAACGTTGTATCAAACTTCTGACCCTGCTCCAAATTCCCCAGTCAACCCTCAGTTTCCAGAAATTACTGTAGTGTCCTGTAATTTAAAACATCAGCATACTGTTTAGGGCCTCTGACCCATTGAGTCCAAGTTAAGCAGCCCACAATACATTGCTAATTACAGTACTAAACTGTTTAACATGAAAACAGTATTTTAGTGTTGGAAATTGGCTGTAAATTTACAGCAATTGCTTACAGTGTGGATTAAGTCATTTTTCAATATAATTAACCAAAGAAATGATATAATTTTACTGATTTCCAGTTCAGTTTGAATCAAGGTTCCTTGTGAATCAAAAACAAATACTGTAAAGTAACAGGGCCATCCACACAATGTTAGAATTCTGGTACTTGTTCCAAAAAACCTAAAGACTGTTTCACCCATTTAAACAAAGCTTTCAAGACTCAAGTCACAGACACATGCAGACTGATTGTAGGAATAACGAATGTGCGTGTGTTGGTTTATACATGTGTGTGTTACCTGAGCTATATTAACTATCCATCCCCCCAGTTCAGGCCAGTTGGGCCACAGGCCTTTGGAGCAGGCCTCCACTATGTCTTGGTAGCTGTGTCGGACTCGGACCTTTGTCACAGAGTCAGACCCTCCGCTGAAAGACACAAAGGCCTTATAAGGAGATACAGTGTGTCTGACACAAATCTATTATTGCTGTTTTCATAGCTACAGCAACCAGTAAGCAACCTTTATATTTAATATTATAAAACAGTAATGCACATTTAACATCAAGCCACAATCAAAGTCACCCATTCAAAATGCTCTTTGGAAAGTGCCACGACAGCAATGACATCTCTGTAATCAGCAAACTAGAAAGCTGATCAAAGCGATAAAGTGCCTTCGTGCAATAAAGTCATATTACGTGGCTAATTACACCCAAAGTCTAAAATAATAGAGACATTACCTTTGTTCCTCTTCATATAGACATGCCACTAGGATCCTCCCTGTGTGGTTACAGACCCAAGCTGAGAGAACCAGCAGAACCAAACCCACGTAACCTGACTTCACCAGAGCAAAGGGTAAGCCCAACACAAAAATGCCCTGTGGGAGAAGAGGGAGAGGGAAGGAGACATGATAAAAACGTAAGTTAAAGAGAATAGAGTTCCCCCTCCCAAGGAATGGGAGAAAGACCCTTGATAAAACAGTCTTCTTTTTTCCTTAATGTGGCCATAAGACTTTGCTGTAGTGTTCGAGAAGTCTGGTGAAAATGTTAAGAGATAACATCTGTGACAAAACAATTACTACAAAATGATCAGTTTAAACAGTTAAGTTTATTTTTATAAAAAGTAATCACTAAAAATATTGTGTGCAAATAGCCAAACTTTCCTACAAGAAAAAAGAGAAAGGAAAAAACTGGGAAGACAGCTGAAAATAAAATGAAAAGACCATACAGATGATGAGGAGGAGAGCTTTGGCGTGACGCCTGGAGAGGAGACCAGATGGAAGAGAGTCGAGCTTTGGCCCTGCACCCAGGGAAAACCTTAGTGACTACCAGAGAAAGGAGCGAGGAGGAGTAGGAACCAAGGTGAATGAGTGAGGCAAGAGAAGAAGGTGATAGAGGAGGAGACAGAATCAGAAAGGAGAGGAAGAGGAAGGAGAGGTGCAACCTTGTGGCTAGAGAGCAAAAGGCTGAAGAAGGAAGAGGAGGAGAATGAGATCACAGGAGATGACAAGCTGCTTTGATGGAGCTTCTGTTTTTTTGAATGTTGGAACATGGAGACGCAGAGACTCATTGAGAAAGTTATGGAAGCACATCATAGACCGCAGACACTCACAGTGGATGACTAAACAGCCAGGCACACATTCTCTCTCTTTTATGTCACTATTTAGTAACTGGGGTCTGTTAGGCATATGCTGATAAAGCTTTGATGTTCAAATGGAGCTGCCGGGGAAGAAAGCAGATTGAGAGGAATCTGATGCTGAAGTATCTGATTGTATCTCCCCTCTCTCTCACTGTCACTGCACTTCTTTGTCTTTCTGTGGTTTTGCCAGCTAATTCCTCACTGATTACTTGTTACAACCTAAAAAAAGGTCCCAATCACAAAAAGGTACATAAGGGAGGAAAGAAATCCCTCATAGGCTGTAAAGAAGATGAAGTGACAAATAATCCCTTTTAGCTCTGTTTTGCCATAGTCAAAGACACAAGATACCATTCAAATCTATTTTAAATATGCTTTTTTCATAATTTAAATTAAACTTTCAAATTCACATTTATTTGTATGGCACCAAATCACAAAACAAGTCATCTCAGGACACTTTACATACTAAGGTTTAGAGCTTACTGTGATGATTATTATTGAGATAAAACCCAACAAATTCCCCTTGAGCAACGCTTGGCGACAGTGGGGAGGAAAAACTCCTTTTAACAGAAGAAACCACTGACAGACCCTGGCTCCTGTTGGGAGGCCTTCTGCCTTTTGGTTGTAAAATAAAGTCATCCAGATTTCTAGATATGAGAGCTGCACCATCCAAAGTGGGATTGATGCCGCCTCTGCTAATCAGACCAGGTTTTCCCCAAAATGTTTTCCAATTGTCTATGAATCCCACATCATTTTCTGGACACCACCTAGACAGCCAGTGGTTGAATGAGGACATGTAGTTAATCATGTCATCACTGGTCAGAAAACTACAGAGTCCGAAATTGTTTTGGAGAAGATACAAACCAACTCAACATTAATTTTAGTGAGCTCCAACTGGCGAAGTCGGGAGTCATTAGGTCGACAAGAATAACAACTTTACTGTATTTATGCTTATCCTTAGTCAACAGCTTCAGGCAGGAATCTATGGCTAGCTGGGCCGTTCTCCACGGTGCGGAGCCGTGCTTCCAATTCAGTGAGCCTCGCCTCCAAAGTTATAGCATCTGACATTTATTACAAGTACCATTATCGCTAAAAGAGGCAGAATAACTGAACATGCAACACTCCGAGCAAAATGACAGTATGACTGGACAATAAACCTCAGTGTAATACCTGTAAATATACCCCGTACAGATTATACAGATACATACAGGTCTCTAGTTTTAAGTACTCTGTTTTTATTCCTACTTATCCCATTTCACAATGAGCATTCCTTGTCTGTCTGCATTGTTTACTGCCTGTTTATACTGCTTATTTCATATTGTTTGCACTCTTTGTTGCTTGTTAATACTGCTTATTTAGTTATATTACTGTACACAGCCTTATGTTGGTTTATTAATGTTTACTTGCCCCTTGCATGGAGATATGTACATACACATTGAGAGCCAATGTACCAGAGTCAAATTCTTCGTGTGTCCGACGCACCTGGCCAATAAAGCAGATCTGAAAAGAAAGGAGGACAGGAAGAAGCCATTGCTCTCAACTAAGCTACTAGCTTAGCTAGCTGACCTAAAGTAGCAAGTTAAATTTGGTAATGAGCAAGAACATAGTAACAAAGGTGCTTAAGTAGTGCAGGCGTATGTCCTGACTCAAAATTTCAATTAAACCTAGAAAATAGTGAACTTAATCCATAAACAATCTGGCAGCAAGCACCGGAAACAGGAAGTGAGTACAGTTACTGCAGGAACAGGAAATAACAGTCCTCCCAGCAGCCAGGGACCTTTTATTTTCATTTGTTTGTTGTGATAGAGTAGTGGTTAGGACGCAGTGCTCTCACCGCTGCGGCCCAGGTTCGAGTCAGGAAGGGCATCCGACATAAAACACGTGCCAAATGTCAACAACACAGCGACTCCTAATGGGTGAAAGCCGAAAGTGACATTCATATTGTTTGAAAGAAAGTCACTTTCGGCTTTTCCCGTTTAGGGGTCGCCACAGCGAATCGTCACACTGACGACTCACATGTTGACATTTGGCACGTGCTTTACGCCGGATGCCCTTCCTGACGCAACCCTGATTCAAACCTGGGGTGCCGCGGCGAGAACGCTGCACCTTAACCACTACATACTAAATTAACAAAGGTACCTCTGTGGCACATGCTGAAATGATTATACACTCACTTCTGCTGTCTGGATTCTACTTCAGAAGTGAGGTTGCCACTATTGACTTTCAGGTCATGCACAGTGTTTTATGCAAACACATGCATAAGAAGTGATAGAGGAATGTCTTCCCCCACCACCAGGGGATTAGGTGGAGCAGAAACAGGCAAGTTTGACATTTAAAGTGTCATTTTATTCAGTCATGACAAATACTGCACTCCTAAGTTTAAACTGTGCTCTTTTACTTGCTCAAAAACATAATGCCTCTGGCCGTGGCTATCGCCGGCATAGATCCATAACAAACTATGAAATCCTGAAAAGGACGTGTCAAATTTGTACTTTTGCCTCCAAA